ATGAATATCAAAGTCTAACACTATTTATTATTTATTCACCTTATCAACCTACTCAGAATTGAAGCATATTATTATAGTCTATTGCATCACATAATATTGTCTAAAATATCAATAAAAACAGGCTTACCCAAAACTTGCTGCCAAAGTAACAGTGTTGAAGCAATGATCTGTGATTAATAAAAAAAAAATAAACCAAATTGTTTATAAAAACTTTTGTATGTGTATAGCTGTGTGTGTGGGTATAATGGGCAGGTATGTATACATTTATAAAGTTCATATCAGTTGTTGGAAAAATGCTTCGGGCGAGACTTCTTGTGTCACGACATGTCACACTCCTAAACCTAGATTAATGTGCCAGGCGTGCGCTTACCCGGCTTCGTGCTGCGAGCGGCCCAATTTTTAGTATTGCCAGTGACGGATTCAGAAATTCAAAAAAATAATGGGGGTCGAGGAAGGGGACTATCACAAATGGAAGGTCTACATCACCTTAGCCTCAAACATAGTGGGAGAAGAAATGTATGATTATGGTAGCACTGAATGGCCGGAAATGGCACTGTAAGACACAAAACAGTAATTCGTATATGCCTGTAATAGTTAAAGCATGTGAATCTTAAAGTTAATTAATTGTATTGTCAGACTGAATGGAACTGTTTGGCGAAGTCCCACAGTTCTTGAATTAATAAGTATGTTCCTGTGGTGTGGGATAGGTTGAAATAACGCATACATCTTTAAATGTTACTGTAGTTTAAGAAATCATGTAATTAAGAGGATATTGACCTTACAATTAGAGGGAGGAGTTTAGGTAGGCCTTAAATGTAATTTAGATTAGATGGGCTGTTAGGAGAGAGCAGTTAACAGTTACAGATAGATTGACCTTTGAAATTTTGATGAGCTGTGAAATAAAACAGGTTGTAAATATTGTACATGGACTGCTTTTCATTTCTTTTTGTTAATTAATTCAATTAAAATTAATTATGACATTGAAGACAGAGTTACAACAATACCTTACACGTGGTCTTTGCTTTTTATATATTATAATTTCTTTGAGATGCATCTATACGCTTTCTGTAACAAGGTAAATGCCAGCAAACTCTCTTACCGGTACCCTTGTCCAGCACTTCAAATTTTTTTGGAAGTGCTGGACAAGGAAGCATTGATGCATCTTTCTGTAGATTCCTTTCATCCATTATTTATACCTGTTATTTTAATGAGCATATCTTTGAGATGTATCTTGTAGGCTTTCAGTGAAACTGTCAATTCAAGATAGAGTAAATAACGCTAAACCCAAGTTAAATTTGCTATAGCTATGTCTTTGAGTGTTCGAAGTGCCCGTAATCGAAGCAGTGACGTTGTTTCAATAATTCTTCCTTTTGTTATTTAGACATATTGGGCATTTATTTGTGATGTATAATGGTAGGCTGTGCAAGCCAAAGTTTATTTTCTATTTGTAAACTTTTGCTTAAAAGAGTTTAAATACTGTAAAAGGCTGTACAAATCTATTTCTAAAGTAGGAATCAAGAATCTACTACCGGTTTTCAAGATACGCATTATGATTCAATGTCCTAAAGATTTTATTTCTTAATCATCTTTAACGTGTTAGACAAGGTTTCCTATTTGGATTCCAAGTAAACATATTATACATGATGCTTTTATTATGAGGCTTAGGGAGTGGACGTGTTTTTGGTCATGAGAGAAAATACTAGGCCTATAAGTTGAATTCAATATTCAAACATAGAACAAATCATAACACAATCAGAGAGTAAACTTCTAAATCTAATATAAAAGTCTTAGCTTTAAATTTATACTGAAATGTCCTATATTTTTTTTAATTAACTTTGTGTTTTAGTTGTTTAAAGAAAAAAGAAAGAAAATATCATATTAATCCAAAAAAGCAACTCTATCGTTTAGTGGCAGGAGTGGATGATCAAACATAAGTAAGGAGTGTATTAATTCGTCGTTTAAATTTGATTAATACCTTATGTTGTATATTAAATTTAACACCAGTGTATTCCACTACTTAAAACCATCGTTTTTCTAATTTCTGTTTGCATAATGAATCTTTGCAAAACCATTTAAATAAAATCATCTATACTAGGCTAGTGTTTATGTTAGGGTATTGACTGAAAAGCAATAGCAGGCCTATGCCTTGGTAAATAGTTGAATTCTGTATTTGTGTATTTTTGTTATTATTTTAACCACTTTTAGTCAATAAGGCAAACTGTACAAAACACAATTTTCAATAAAATGTAATAAAAATAAAAGATAAACAAATTCCTCGGGCTCATGCTTATCAAAGGAAAGAGTTAAATCAAGCTTAGGGGGCATATGGCAAGGAACAGAAAATTACAAAAATAAATGAATGAATTAAAACGTTGAACATACTTAATTAAATTTACCCCCTGTTTAAAGGTATAGTACTCCTTGGCATTATGCGGACTTGCAGGGCATCGATCATACGTGCATCAGCCTGCCGTGAAAGTAATAAGAAAGTGATGGCGAAGACCTTGTTTCAACATTTCTGCACTAGAAACTTTCAACATTAGATGGATGTCCTACAAAGATATTGCAAATGCCTCCAAGGGAAGATTTAAACATTTTTTTACCGCAAAGAATATTGAAACTAGGTCAGAAGTCGTACTGATTGAATGACCAAGTGAACCTATTTCCAGAATGACGTAGAGCACTTCAGAAAAAAATACATCAAACAGGTCTTACCTTGTTTAGTTTCATCTTATGAGAATGATATACACATCTTCGTAAATCCGTTAACAAACTGCTTTGTAGAAAGATGACACTGACTTTTATTAGATTCGCTGTTGGGAATCTAAACACCTGCCAATTGAGTGCAGACATATAAATTGACATAATACATACGATATTGTCACATAAATGTGTAAGACGCCTAGTTACGGCCATAACATTTCGATAAGAATATTTTAATATACAGGACGGAGTTAATTCACGTACGAGTAAATTAATTAAATCAACAACAACGTTGTGGGCAGAAGACATAACAATGGTACATACACGTCACGGATGATAAAAAGTGCATTAATAAAGTATAATTATGAGGCAATTCAAGTTAAAGTTTGTACAGTACAAACTTTCAGAACAGTTTTCTAACCCTCTAACAAAATTGTAACTAAGGTCGACCAGCTACCAACTAAACGACATGGGAAAATTTTAGGAAATCCTGCAATTTGTTTTTTGTCTTAATAATGCTTAAAACAGACTTGCTAGGTTCGTGCTTAAGGCTATTTTTGTGTTTAGTTATTTACACTGCAGACAGCTCGTTGTGCCTAAATGATTGCAAAGCTGCTGTAACGCCCTATAACAAAGTACTAAATCCAATTTTCATGTTTTTGGTTTTTTTTTTCTAAAATATTCATCTGTGACCGCCCCGAATTCTCTGCACTACTCTACGTGCATTCAGGTAAACTGCATCTTTAATTTATACGAAACAAGAACTCAGCATCCTCACGTACGCAGATTATTCTATGTGACGTCATTACTATTTAATGTTACCGTTGTAGTGCAATCGAGCTCAATTATTTTTATGTAATATTTAAAAAAAACAAGAACTTATAAAAATTCTTTAAAAATATTCCTTAATGAACTACTACAATTTAAGCCCATGGAAAACGAAATAGTGAAATTTTGCTTCAAACTAATCATGACCAGATAATCATGTTATATTCACTTCTTTTTTTTTATCATAAATGTAAAAATTTGTAAGCACTAAGTTAATTACTTACCCTGTGCTACCCTGTGCAGTCGTTCAATGGTGGCCCCAGAAATTTCCCGTCAGAGGGCCTGACAGGGTGGGTCCGAACTCAGGTTCGAATAGACTCTCGGTTTGGGGATAGTTTGTTATAGCTTAGCCCAAAAGTGTGCTTTTAAATCAAAATATTAGGGATTAACAATCAAAATAACGTTGATTGGCAAATTGATATACTTGGTCTGACTACTTTGTCGTGGCATCATGATACAAGGGTCCAGGCGTGTCCGACGTGAATTCCACTTCCCACCCCCTCTGACTAACCTGTTGGTGCCATCAATGCTGTCGTTTTGGAGTTTTGACGTCATCACACCAAACTCCTAAGATTACCACAATCAAGCCCAATAAAAATATACACATATATAGTATTATCATTAATCTAATACTTGTTATTTCAAAATTATAGTTTATTATTAAATTTATATTAGTGTTATTATTATTCTTTTTTTTCATTGAATGAATGAATGAATCAATAAATAAATTAACAAACAAATACATGAATAAATACATTTTGATCAGTCTGACAGTGCAATTTCTCTTGTTTTATTCCTTTTTTTTAACTGGTTTTTCTTATTATGAATTATTTTTTTTTATTGATAATACTGTTTAATTTAAAAAAAGTCATGATGAAGATGCTGATGAAAAAGATAAGGATGTTGATGACGGGGTATGAAGATAAAGATGATAAGGATGATGATGAGAAGAAAACAATCGAGGTAGATTATAATGAGAATGATGATGATGATTGGTGATGAATGATATATATATGATGAGGACGATGGTGAAAATGATAATCATGATGACGATGACTGAATATAATATTGTGAATCATTCTCCTCATCCTTTTTCTTATCTCCGTTCTCGCCTCATCCCATCCATCATTTTCTTCCTCATCATTATCTTCCTCATCGTCATTGTCCTCATCATGAGAATGATGACGGATGATGATGATGATGATGATGATTATGATGATGATGATGATGATGAATGATGATGAGGAGGATAATTATGATGATAATAATGATTGATAAATGATAAGGATTAGGATGTTGGGGATAAATGGCAATGGTGGTTATGATGATGACGTTGATGATGATGACAATAATAATGATGATGATAGTAATGATGAAGATTATGATGATGACGATGAGGGTAAAAATTATTATGAGGAGAATGAGGATGATGGTGATGAATAATGATGATTGATGATCATTATTATCACCATGATCCCCCTCCTCATCATCCTCATTATAATCTGCCTCATTATCTTTCGTCACCTCCTCATCTTTATCATCTTCGTCCTTCTCATCACAAACATCCTCATACTCTTCATCAAGTATCATTAACATGAAGATTATAATGATATTTATGAGGATTATAATGATGATTATGAGGGTGGTAATTGATGATGATGATAATGATGATGAGGAGATAAAATTATCTACTGTATTTGCATTGGCATTTGGGTATATTGTACATACAAATGTAGGTATGTGGTGTGTCTTTGGATAACGCCCAATACTGTATTTGTTTCAAACCAATTTATTATTTACAGTAACTTAAATGATCATGAACGTAAAGTTAATGGTTAATGATTAATATATATATATATATATATATATATATACATATATATATATATATATATAATTTTTAGTGATGTGGAATGGGGATGATGTTGTATTGCTGTGTGTCTTATTTAATTGCACTTTGTAATTTTTTTTTTTACTTATTGTTTATTTTCTTTTTAAATTATGATTCTATATAAAAGAGGCCTTTTATAAGTACAGTAAAATTGTGTTATGCAGTGATGTTTTCTATATATAGTATGTTACTAGTGCTTTATGTACAGTATAACTTACCGTATGTGATTATGTTTCATTTATAAATTATGTGATTATGGAAATAAAAGGCTTGGCAAAAGAAAAACAATGGTGAGGAGGATTATAATAATGATGATGATGAGGATGAGGATAATAATGATAGGGATGAAAATGGATGATGACAATAATAATGATTTCAGTATAGTGGTAATATAATAATGAATTAATAATAATAATAATAATAATAATAATAATAATAATATTAATAATAATAATAATAATAATAACAACACTAATATTATTTTATTATTAAACAAAAATTTTAAAATAATAACAATAATAATAATAATACTGTAAGAAAATGCGATATATAGGCGAGAGTAAAGACTTACTGTTTAGCCAAGTTCTTGTTACATTGTATGTTCATAGCTTATGTAAAAGTTACTAAAAACATACATTTATTTCCCCTACCCCCATCCTAATTAGTCTAAAATAGGGGTTTTTAGGCTAGAATTGTGCTATGTGCTGTTAATTTGTACATAAATAATGCAACTCCATTCTAATTAAACTGACAAGGACCAGCAAATATCAGGGCAGGGGAGTTTGCACAATCATTATTGCTATAAATAAATAATATATTATCATCTTCATTATAATTATTATCTCTGCTAGGAGATATATGTTTTTAATCGTGCATGTTTGTGTGTGTTGGTGGGGGGGGGGGGTTGGTGTGTGTGTGTGGGTGTGTGTGTGTGTGTGTGTTCAAATATCTAAAAAAAATGTTCTAAAGATCTAAATAAAATTTACAAAGGAAAAACTGTATCACGAAACTTCTATATGGTCTATTATTACCATGCATGCTTGCATTTTGTTGCACCTCTTCCTTTGATTAATATTATTCCATAAAGTGTTAGTGTTAAGTAAGTGTTAATCATGTCGCATCGTATTGCTCGGAAAAATATTAATAATTGGTGCCGCTATATATTCTCTATTTCAGTTGAACACTGAAAAAAAAAACCCACTAAAACAATAAAACAAACTGAAATGCTTAATTAAGATATAATAATATACTTAAAAACAGTACTGATTGATTGTAATGTTTGGGTATGTCCTTGCCCAATAACAAGTTTTAATGTTATTTATTCATTCTGAAGTAATTATAAGTAAAATACATTCAAGGATAAAAACACAGAAAAGTACAAAAAAGCAACTTATTTCCACTGTGGTCCCTAAATGAGAATACTTAAATTACAGAATAATACATAATCAAAACAACAAAGTCAAATTCAATAATAAAAAAAAGACATCATATAAATAAAATAAATGTTATGGTTAGTTACAGTACATGGTACACTGCAGTAAGAGTTCATTGTGCTGTAACGCGCTATAAGAAACTACAATTAAATCTAAATTTAATTAATAAATATTTTCCAAAACATTTATCCGTTCTTTATGTGTTCTCTATACTAAGTACATTCTGGCCAAAACTGCGTCCTAGAATTTAGACGAAAATAAGAACTCAACATTCCGGCATGCGCAGATTATTTTATTTGACGTCATTTCCGTTGTAATACAATCGGGGTTTGTGTATCAATACTATATTTCTAACAAGAATAAGTAACACAAACAACAGTAGTCATATATTGTTGGGTTATATTTGATTGGTACAAGAATTAATACATTTTCATTGAAAATATCAACATTACTCAGAAAGGATAAATAATGAATCGTTAATAAATAATTTAATTTGGAGGTTTCAGCACGTTTTAGTTTTAATGTACCAGCGTTTATATATTTATTACTTATATACTAGATGCTCAGTTTGAATTTTACTAATACCGGTCATGTGCCACCAATCGTCACTGCCTCAAACGTCCAGGATTTAAAAAAAATTGCTACCGGGCGAGCTTCTTGATCAAGATTTGGTGTTTGACAGTGTCAAACGCTTTTCTTTTCAATGACAACCAGTAAGGCAGTCCCTATTCATGCCATCAAACTATTTATTATTGTGTTAGTGAGGGCAGTTAAAGTTAAGTGATGTTCCCAGATTGGGATGGTGCAAGAATGTTATTGGACGTAGCATAATGTTGACTGTGGGCAATAATTTTAGGCAGAATAGACAGCACTGATATAGGGCGAGAGTTGTTAAGATAGACAGCACTTTTAGGGCGATAGTTGTCAAGCAGGCATTTATGACCACCTTCATGAATTGATACAACCTTGAAAATGTTAAGATCTTGTGGGAAATTACCGGATGTAAGTGAAATGTTATAAATGTGTGTCAGATAGGATGCAGTAAGGGGCAGCCAATTTACACAACCGAAATGGATTACAGAGCAAGTCTAGTGACGTACCTATGTTCAAACCCTGAAGCTGCTCGAGAACAAACTAAGTTGAAAGACCACAAAAAGCAAAAGAAAATGAATGCTGAATAATATAAAAACATGGGTCAATTCAGAGCTTGATCTAATTCTAATGCAGGGGCAGATCCAGAGATTTCTGACGGGGGGAGGGGGAACAATATTAAATCCATACTGTCACGCCCACTTCCACCCCACCATGGTTGGTGTAACTAAGTGGTGAAAAATCGAGCTCTCCTTTTGCCCACTGCTGGATGCCACTGAAATCATGGGTGCACTCCCTTTTCCCCCGTTTCCTCTCTTTTCCCTCTTTTTATTTTTCGGCTTGACCGACGGTAGTGGGGAGCACAGGTCCTCATCCCCCCCCCCCCTGCTGGATGATCCACGCCTGTAATGGTATAATAATAAAATAATTCGCTCTGCTTGACGTTTTACCCTGTCACGTTCGTGGATGAGTGATAATAATGTCATCTTTATCTCGGAGCCACTGTGGCACATTTCCCTTGAAACGCCATGTTTTTATTGGCACATGCTTATCAATAACTGATTTCATGAAGTTATTGAAAACAACAATAAATTCTTTTTTTTTTTTTTTTAGAAAATTCATGAGACACCATTAATCAGCATTACTCAGAAAAGATAAAGAATAAATAGAATAATTTAATTTGGAGATTTCGGAACGTTTAAGTTTATTGTACATGATGGTGATGACGGTGATGAGAATGATGACAATCATAATAATGAGCATGATGGTAATGACTATGATTATGATGATGATGGTGATGAGGAGTGTAAAAATTATGTTGAGAATAATGAATGTGATGGTGGTGATGAATATTGATGATCCTCCTCATCATCATCATTATAATCTACCTCATTATCTTCCTTCACCTCCTCATTATTATCATCTTTATCCTTCTCATCACCAATATCCTTGTCCTCTTCATCAAGCATCATCGCCACCGTGATGAGCATTATAATGATGATTATGAGGATTATAATGATGGTTATGAGGATGGTAATTGATGATGATGATCATGATCATGGTCATGATGATGATGATGAGGAGGAGGATTATAATAATGATGATAGGATTAAAGTGATGAATATAGGTGATGATAATAATAATGACTTCAGTATAGTGGTAATATAATAATAATAATAATAATAATAATAATAATAATAATAATAATAATAATAATAATAATAATAATAATAATAATTATTATTATTATTATTATTATTATTATAGGCATATCAGTAATATTGTATCATAATAAAATTATTATAATAATGTTGATGCAGAAACATGCATGAAACATTACATTTAAGTACCGTACGTAAACACTTGGCACCAACGGGTGGTTTATGAGAGGAGGGAGATTTTCCGTCTGGAAAGGCCTAGACCACTATCGTCTGATGTCACAACGAGGTCGTCAGACAAAAAATATTAATTTGCCTATTTAAAAAAAAAACATTATTTTGATTGCCAATACCTAAAATTTTGGTTTATAGCACATTTTTTTGGGCAATATTTAGTCATAAAAACTCCAACCAACCAAGAGTCTAGGCGACCAATGGGGTTGGACCCATACTTTTCGTCCCCCTGTTGGCAAATGTTGGGGCTACCACCGGACCGACAGTAAAGAGAGTATTTATTTAAGTCCTTAATTATTTTCACATTCAAAGCAATAGTAGAAGTGACTAAAAACATTAATACGTTTCCCCTATCCCGATCCTAATAGGTCCAAAATGGGATTATCGGGCCTTTAGAGCGAAATTTCGTTTTCCATTGGGTTTATATTGTGGTAGTTCATTAGTCAAATATATGTTTTATTTTATTCTTGTTTGTACAACATTGTTTTGAGTTAAACACTAAAATGCTTAATTAAGAGGTCAATGAGACACAGACTTAGACTAATGCTGAAGTTGTGTTTGTGCCTTAATATGCTTAAAAACAGTACTGATTGTTTGCTATGTTTTGTGTATGTCTTATCCCAATAAGACAAGCTTTAAGTTAATGTTATGTTTACTTGCAGTACATGGTACACTGCAGTAAGAGTTCATTGTGCTGTAACGCGCTATAATTAAATCAACATTTTATTTAATAAATGTTTTCCAAAATATTTATCAGTGACCGCCCTGTGTTCTCTGCACTAAGCACACTCTCGTGAAACTGCTTCCTAGAAAGACGAAAATAAGAACTCAACATTCTTGCATGCGCAGATTATGTTGACGTTACCGTTGTAGTACAATCGACATTTGTGTATCAATACTATATTTCGAACAAGAATAAGTAACACAAAAAAGTAGTCATATATTGTTAGGTTATATTTGATTAATACAAGAATTACTACATTTTCATTGAAAATATTTACATTACTCAGAAAGGATAAAGAATGAATCCTTAATAAATAATTTAATTTGGAGGTCTCAGCACGTTTTAGTTTATTTATTTATTACTTATATGTATATATATATAGTACTAGATGCTCTGTTTGGATTTTACTAATACCGGTATATAAAATGTTTATTGCTAGCACGATAAATAAAAGATACCTCCTTTGTGTGTATAATTAATGCAGACTTACGCTGAGCAAACACAATCAAATATCTTTAGTCACACTTAACAAACTGTGTTATATCAAATAATGTTTATGTATACTTCGCTTAAGATTAGTACTGTTTTCTATATTAGAAATTTCTTTCATAATTAATTTTTTTACTTATTTCTGTAATATGTTTATGCTGACTTTAGGTGTCATCATTATTTTGTTATAGAAGCAAATTTAGCCAGCATCAATTATAGATATTGCCCGCAATTAAAATAGTGTTAGTTATATCCACACTTCTTGACAACCAAGTCTGTTTATTGTATAGGAAACTGAATTAAAAAGGCTAGGTGCTACTTTTACATGCAACCTATCACCATATTTAATTTTAAAGTGACTGCCACTGATTTTCAAGAGCAGAGATATTTTGCAAAGGAATTTTGGTAACTATTAGTCTAGAATAAAAAATATGTTACTGGGAATGTATGTGATTTTTTGTATTCTGGCTTATGATTTATTATTAATGTACCGCAATGAAATCACCTTTCCACAGTTTCCTGAAATGTTGGGAACAATTCAGACACATTAGGCCTACTGCGGCTTAAATTTGTTCATAGGTCAAAATTCTCTATTTCATCATCAAGACCCAATTAGTTAATTTATTGTACATTGGCATAAAACATTTGTTTTTATGAAGGGACAGAATGCAAGAGATTTGGTAAAAAAATGCTCTGCAGCACTAGGGTATTTTTTTTATATAAAGACCAATTTCTTAAGTTGACATGTCGTTCTCCTTGTTAAAGACAATTCGTCAGTGCTAAAATATGAAATTAGTTTTCAATTGTTTATTGAAAATAATAGAAAGGTTATTAAATGAAACATAGGCCTAAATAAAAAAAAAATAATAGAAAGGTTATTAAATGGAACATAGATCAAATTCAATTCCTTCACTAAAGTACCATTTACTTTTTTTCTTTGCGTCACCTGAATACTCAGTATTGCTCTGTTTTTAATTTCAGTTTAATTTTAGTTGGTGCTTTTAACACATTCAATTTATTACCATACAATCCGCATTAAAATTCATATCGTCGGCTTAATTAGGAACATGTGGTACGTTTGAATTTATTGTTTTTGTCAAGAGCCACAAATCCATTCTGACGTCACTGTTGTTTACAATTGCTTGATAAATACTTTATATCCATTATAATGAGATTGTCTGCAATGATCTTAATAGATTTCTATGACTACTAACCAAAATATTGAATCAATCAATATTTGTTTACCTAAAATACACAGTATTGATATTTACTATAGTAGGGTCCTTTTTTACAGTAATTACGCAATTGTGTAAATTAAAGCAACTCATTATGTTGTTATGTTTTTTTTTAGGAATTAGGAATAGAATCCCGAAGTACAAGTGGCAGAAACAAAGAATGATCACTGGTTTGGACTTGGGCGGTGCTAGAACACGTCAACAACCCAGAGACAACTCAACAAAAAGCAGGATGGTGTGCTATAACATTATTTTTACTGAAAATGCTAGTTGATAGAATATAACCAGACATAGGGCAATAAATATAGTTAAGTGCTCATAAAGAGGTGGACACCAGTGCAGCCACTGGCACAATTAATAATTATTGATGACGATTACAGAATGGTTACTTTTTAAAAAGCATATTGGATACAGTGGGTAATTAATCAGAACACATTGTGAGAAGCTGGGAAAGACTTTGAAAACAGGCCATGATCTAAATCTCTATATCCTAGTTAACATGTTTTTAATATCACACGAAGAAAAGTAGGCAGAATCGAGCTTGATGGAGTTTTAAAATTTGAATGGCTTTAGAAAGCGAAAAGTACGGCCTGAGATAGGAAAGTTGAAGTGCAAGATCTCAAGAGGATATCAGGGTCTGAACATGTTTTACGGTGCGTTGTTACACTCTAGTAAATGTGGAGCTTTCGATTTGCACGATGACGTGACGCTAGAACGGAAACACTAATGCGTGACCGTCTTACAGAACGTCCTACGTTCTCGCATGCGCAGATGACTTTTAGTGACGTCATTGCGTTCTCCGTAACGTAATCGAAAGTTCACTAATGGTAGGTAGTTTTCGCCGCACGACGTAACCTTAACTTAAATCGAAATACGCATGCGCAAACCCGTAACTAACGTCTTTCGAGCACGTAAAATCCTGAAAATAACGTACTCCGCAACGCAAGATGAATACATTATGACATCATCCTTTAACGTTAAGGTTAACGTCGTGCAGCGAAAACTGCCTATTACCTTAGAGGGTCCTGAAGCTCCGCCGGTTTTCCAGCCTTTTATAAGTGGTACTTAATGGATTTTAAGAGTAGCAATATACAATTAACATTATTTCCACACTACGTCTACATAAAAATTATTTCAATTTACCTGGTATCCATAACATGCCCTACACATAATAAAATTAAATCGGTTATAAAGTTAATGCAGAATGTTGTTTAGCAGAGAACACATCCTGTAAACTTTCATTATTGAGCCAACTAAAAGGGCATAGCCAGTCAGAGAAAATGTTGACCGTCCTATCAAGTAATTTGTTATAGACGAGATCTTATTTCATTACCATACTGAATAGGTATATTAAAATTACCACCTCGAAATACAAAAATAATAGAAATTTATGAGCCAAAATATAAAAAATTATTATCTAGTAAGATGTGTTTTTGTAATAATATAACAAAATTGTTAAAACATTCAAAATATCATGTCTTTTTATTGACAAAATGTATAGGCAAAATGAAGTGGTTAAGAATTAAAACTGTGTTTTTTTGGCTAATATTACATTATTTTATTGACATAATGTACACCATTCATATGGGTAGCAATCAACTATCCGTGCATCTATCAGATCTATAAAGAAGATTTATGTGAACCAGGGAACTGTTCCCTGTGTAAACTAAAAACTTAACTAAAGTCATTTATTATTGTATTTCGTTTGCATTTCCATAAATTCTATTAAAACCATTAAACCAAAAGGAAATTTAATCATCTAGCCAATACAAAAAGAAATGACAAATTCCGTTATTGCTTGGGTGTCAGAAGCCACGTAAGTGTTCATATTACTACTATCAAAGAAAATGTTATGTAGTAACGCATCCTTTAATTCTCAAAAACACTATACACTATAACAATAATAATAATAATAATAATAATAATAATAATAATAATAATAATAATAATAATAATAATAATAACGTCAGAAGTAACGTAAGTGTTCATATTACTACTATCAAAAAAAATGTTATGTAGTAACGCATCCTTCAATTCTCAAAAAAACTATACACTATAACAATAATAATAATAATAATAATAATAATAATAATAATAACGTCAGAAGTAACGTAAGTGTTCATATTACTACTATCAAAGAAAATGTTATGTAGTAACGCATCCTTTAATTCTCAAAAACACTATACACTATAACAATAATAATATAATAATAATAATAATAATAATAATAATAATAATAATAATTGTTATTATTATTATTATATTATAAATAAGAATAATATTAAGCATAATTATAATTTATGAAAAATAATAATAATATTAATATCAAGAGTAATAAGAATAATAATATGATATAATAATTATACAATACTTCTATATTTCAATATTTATCTTTCGATTTGTTATCTTTTTCAAGAATTTTATATTGTAAGTATTTGCGTTTTTCTCGTGAAGGATCTCCACTCGACAGTGATTGATTTTACTTTTGGAGTGTCCTGTCTCTTGTTTGTTTTTGTACTTTTGTGATTGTTTTTTGCCGTTTCAGTTTATGTACATTTTAATTGTTTGAGACAAATAAATGAAATGACAATTATGCATAATCTTGTACATATCTGTCTTCACAAACTGTTTCACTATATAAAAATTGGGATACTGTCGTGAAAGGTTTAAAGTTGACATAATCTCGAGTAGTGCTACCATGGTATACTCATAATAATTTATTCCAATTAAAAAATTACCTCATATTTAGTATTAAACGATAGGTCAGCCTTTTGCAACTCTCGACAGGATGATAAACTGTATGCCGCAATGAGATATTACTATAATGAAAATTATAATTCTCCTTATTACCATGCCAACTTTCATTTGTACTTTTGTGATTGTTTTTTGCCGTTTCAGTTTATGTACATTTTAATTGTTTGAGACAGATAAATGAAATGACAATTATGCATAATCTTGTACATATCTGTCTTCACAGACTGTTTCACTATATAAAAATTGGGATACTGTCGTGAAAGGTTTAAAGTTGACATAATCTCGAGTAGTGTTACCATGGTATACTCATAATAATTTAATCCAATTAAAAAATTACCTCATATTTAGTATTAAACGATAGGTCAGCCTTTGCAACTCTCGACAGGATGATAAAGTGTATGCCACAATGAGATTTTACTATAATGAAAATTATAATTCTCCTTATTACTATGCCAACTTTCATCAAGACATCCAAATTTCTGAATATCTTAATAATAATAATAAATACAATTAAAAACACCCTTTATTCCATTATTATTTCAACATTTTCTTGTTTGCTTTTTTAATAACAAAAAAATTAAAGCGTATCAAAATATATTTAAAAAGAAATCATAATGATATCTTTATGAATAATTTAATGATGACCCATCTTTATTGGTTTGAAAATTAAGTTACATTGATCTCATAGACTTAAATAAATTATTATGATTTTAGTTGCAAATGAAAATATGCTCTTATCTAGACGTACAAACAATACTGCTACGATAGGCCTAATTACACACGGCTGGTGAATAATTTAGAAATGTGTATGTATTTAGATATCTGTACCATTAAAAGATAATTGTACTTATTTTATCTATTTAAGTTACCTATTTCATGGTTCAATTGATTTTAAAAACTATCCATTATATGCCTCTCATGATGGATTTTAACGGAATTATTTGTTTAAAATATATTTAAAGGGATAAACCAATATTTGTTGAAAAATAAATACATTATTATTTTATTATTATCCCTAATTAAGCATTAAACGGTCTTATGATAATTTTAATATTATTAAAATCCTGCTCCGTAAGGAAATTCGATGAGGATTTTAGGGTTTCTTGTTTTAAAATGATGAAAATATGGTCGTAACATAATTTCATAACATAATTACTACCTTCCCAAGATGCTAAGCTGGTATTTGTTTAACGAAATTACGTTTTTCTAATTTTTCCAACTATTCACTCATTAAAGGTTTGCTTGGTATTAATTCTAAAAATGCGACATTCCTTTGCATCAATTTTCTGACCCACTGTGGCAACAAATTTAGCCAAAGATAATCAATTATTCTCCAAATATGCAATAAACTATAATCAAGTTTGCGCTAGGTTTATCAAGCAGATTGCTGTAGTTGTATGCATTATCCAGTAAATTCCGATGGAAAGCAAAGAGTCTTGCTTTTAATTGGATTTTAGATTGACAACCAGTGACATGTGCAGCCAATGTCAAACAAGCAACAACCCACGTGATATTTTTGTTCATGACACAGATGATTTATCTTCGTTCGTTATGAACCAAAGCAATTCTTGATAGTCGATACAGTTAATAGGTCTATTCAAAGATATCTGCCAATCTGAAAAATGTTCAGAGATGTTACTTAACATGAAGATTTGTGAGTACAACATTTTTTCATGCGAAATCTTCATTGTTTGTTCTTGTTTATATGGATTACTTGATGTAAAGAGAAGTCTAATGATTCTGGATTTTCGTGCCTGAGATAAAAATTAAAATAGGTAAGATTCAGTGAAAAGATGATACTATGAATTAATATTTTAAAAATTCAATAAAACATAATCAACAAAAATCCAAGCTATAGCAAAGCACCAAAAAAAAAAAAAAAAAAAAAAAAACTTGCAGTGCTAATGGAAATGGCAAACTTGGTAATTAATAATAGTAATAGTATTGATAATAACAGTACTATTAATATTTTTGAATAATATTATAAAAAGCTTTTACATTTTTATAGTATATATCAATGAATTTACCTCATTAATTAAGTTCCAATGGAAGCAAATGTACAGGAAAAGATGCTAATACTGTCGTTGATTGAGCGCCCTTAATTCCTACTAATCTTTGTTCCTACCGACATTATTGGTCATCGTCTTGCACACAACAATTCTGTTTTTTATAATAACAGTAAGAGTATACAAATATTGACTGTTTATGAGGAGAATGGTGAAACCCATTGCCCCGAGGTGATGTGAAAACCATAGCTCGGCCCTCAGGAACATAGTAGCTAGTCTCCACATCACCGAGGGCAGATTTCACCGTTCCACGAATTTATATAGCAGTTTATAGTAGTATATAGTTTTATATACCTCATACATAGATTCTACAAGGTCTAACAAAGTAATTAAGAAGAGTACCTACCAAGTAGGCCTAGGCCCTAGGCCAGGCCTACTTGGTCTGGGCGGCCAAAGTGCCAATCTCTCTAGCCGTAGAGGTCGCAATCCCTTTTACGTCCGTACGTGTCATACTTTTACACAGCGACGTTAAGTGAGGCGCAACAGTGCAAAAAAATAATATCATTTTACGTGATATTATTTCCACTCTCCCCACCCCCTCCCCCACCTTCTAGAGAATCTATGAATTCTCATTGAATCTACCTCACAAGAGTAATAGCTGAAGTTATTACCCGCTTTTTAACCAATCAGATACCTGGAATCTATGTATACGGTATTTTGATTTATGTAGTGCTTTACACCAGAGTCTCAAAGCACGCCATGCGTAGACTCTCGCTTAACCTTCTTCCCGTTTAGTTCAAAATAGTACTATTGTACAAGCTTCACGGTTTATTCGATTCAGATTTTGTGATTTTTGAAACATGTACTCTTAATACTTTTTAATACATCCCATGTTAAATGTCCAATAAAATTTTAGCTAATATTGTCATTCTATTGTAAATATTAACAATAACAACATAATAATACGAGCGTTTACTTACCCGACTGATCCAACACTTCTACAGCAAATTTCGTAGAACTCAAAGACAAAGAACTTGTAGACATATTCATTAATTAGCTGAAATAAAACCTTGTTAACCTATACATTTTTGTCACCTGCGTCAAAAATTTGACTCCTAGTATCTTCTAACTGTGGATAAAAATGTTAACGTTGTGGAGTGAAAGAGGTTAATGCTGTAAAAAAAATGTCGTTAATGCTGTAAAGAAAAATCTGTTTTTGTTGAAAAGAGTAAAACATATTGTTAGAATTTGAGCCAATTTGTTGTGAGGCGTTATACAAGATTGTTAACTCTTCCAAAATTTTAGTCAAAAATTCGACTATTTACACGCCAATGCGTTAGAAACAATTCAGTACGCGAGACTTATCACACTACTTGTTACCTCTCATATCCTTACACACGTACGCATGTTCTGATGCGCACGACTGCCTTTTCCAAGAGAAAACGTGATCTTCCTGGCTGTATACAAGACACCATCCTTCTTCACGAGTATCGATGATTTTACTGTAGTCAACGTCAGTGCCATCGCTCCAGCGTTCTTCGTCATCTAAAGAGAAATAATCAAAGTGCAATAGAAATTAAAATCGGTGATTATAATTATTTCGTGTGTCTGTGGTTCCTTAATTCACTGCTCATGGTATAAAAAGAATGTTAAAACAAGTATAATGGCAGTATTGTTGACTGATACCAACATTTGTGCGCTCAACATCAAACATTTTTAAAGTGCTTTTGTTTGCACAAAAAGCAACAAACACCAAAACTGTTGGAAATTGGTGCAGCTGACATAAATCTCTGACAGCATGATGGGTAATGCATCTTGCAACACTAACTCAGGTTAATTATGATTGGGTAATAAATCTCTTGTTAATTAAAATAATATCATTTATTTTCTTCCTTGTACAATCTAAAATTAATCACTTTGGCACAATTTGAAATTGACATACACTAGAGCAGTACCATTGTATTACTTACAAGAATTGAAACCAATCCACGAATATCCGGCGTATTTTTGAATGATAGTCTGAATAAACTTATCCTCCTCTTGTGAATGGATGCTGGCCAGGTCAGCCTTTCGCAGCCCTCTGCAAAAAGATACAGCTGTGGGCCATAATGACAGATTGCTATAATGGCGGTAACAATTATCCTTATAACCATGCCAACTTCCATCAAGACAGCCAAATTTCTGAATATCTAGTTAATAAAAAAAAACCAATAAAAATAACAGTTATATAAGAAAACGTTTTGATACTGTAATATTGTTGGATTATGTTGTAACGCCGAAGTTTGCATGTGTTTCACCACCTTAACATCTCTAAACAATATACAATCCTAAGTAGTAAAAACCTCAGAATGTGTGGAAAATTAAAAGATACAAGATAAATTTTATTGTCTTTTAAAAAAAGAAATGGTAGTTTGAACAAAAAAAATATGAACAAACAAACAAAAATACATCAGTAGCCTAATGATAATAATAATACAAATAATCATATTATTGTAAATATAAAAAATTATTTTTTAATTTGGTACACATTCTCGTGCTGGTCACTTTTGAAAAAAGAATATTGTAGTGTACATATAGTAATGATAAATTTAGCATGAGTGAACCTACCTTTCTCACAGACGGCTCTTGTTTGATTGCTTTCACAAGGGCCGTCGGACCAAGGGACAGAAGTTGGGTAGAATTGTGTACATTTTCCTTCCCCGTCTATAAGATAAAATAACACAATTAAAGGAGTCGTATATCATATAGGTATGCGTTGTCTAATGGATGTGACACTCACCCTGACAGCAAGAAGTTGCAAGTTCGGATCCTGCTAGAGACACTATTCTTCATACAACTGAATTAATGAGGAACATTTCGTTGAAGGGCTATGCTTGATAGATTATAACATTTTGTTCTTATTTAAGCACTATATTTATCCAGTTGTTTATATTGTATTTAAGGCGCTACACAACAACCTTAAAATTCCTTAATTTCTTGTTATTTATGAGTAATTCATTTGTTATTTAAGCCGGGCACTCACTGCGTCGTACGACATCGTACGACCGTCATACGACAATCCAACTATGCTTCCTGTGAACGCTAGACGACGAGACGTCGTCTGCTGACTGTCGGTGGAAGTCTGACAGATCGTCATAAAAAGACAATCCCATTATGCGCGAGTCGTGGCGTTGCCTTCTTTACAGACAGTCGGGCGCAGTGAGTACACGAGTTTACCACTGATCTCTACTATAACAACTGGATTGACAATTAGCTGGTTTTTAGTGAAGTCACTGACGCCATGCTGGAGAACTCAAAATGCGACAATACGTCATCACAGCGCAAATTTTGAATCGGAGTGACGATCATCAACAATGCACACGTTTTTGTTTTACTGCACAGACAGTCGTGTTGAGTGGTTAGAGGATGTGAAAACAAAATAATTTCTTTATATTTAAATTTATACACGTCATTTGGGCTTCTTAACATTGCGTCGGTGGCTTTATTTATATTCTGTAGGCCTACAATGATTGTATGATGAACAATCTAGCTATTATAAGAAAGATCAGTGGAGGAAACTACTGTCATCTTGGTAAAAACCAAGTCAAAGTTTAAATCTGAAATGAGACTCAAAATTCTAACCTTGTGTCCAGTTCCAGTCCCCAATCCAACAGTATTCATGGGATATGTTGCTTGATTGTGACAACACAAAAGCTTTTTTCTCTTGTGATGTAATTGATACCAATTTTGCACTTTCTTTTTGACAAAACGAGTTAGCGTCATCGCAATTAATGACATTTTCACCAAACAAATAGCATGTTCCTTTGAATTGCTTCCAGCCATATGGACATTGCTCTTTAAATAAATGAGCAAATACGTATAAAGAATCAAAACATAATTTATTTATCTGCTTAAAAATGAAATTCTATACGAGCACATTCGACCATAGGTCATCATCAGGCACTTTAAATCTTAATTTCATATAATTATGTATGTATGTATATAAATATATAATATATATATATATATATATATGTATATATACATACAAAGTACACGTTATATTATATATAAATATAATAGATATGTGCAAGTAAAATAATAAATAGATATATAATTTTTAATATAAACGTAACAGAAGAGGGATTTTTACTACAAAAAACACCTTTTTAGTAAATAAAAATTTACTTTTGTCACTGATTTTGTTGCTTTTGTTTAATAATTTGAAAAATCTTCTGGTACTGGTAGTGGTACGGACTATTTATATTGCGACTTTCCTTGTGGTTATGAAGCGCAAGCCAAGCCTCAATAATTCATGAAAACAATGGTACCCGTAAATGCATCACAATAGTACAGTCACACAAACAACAAAGACAAATATAAAGATTATAGCAATAAAATTCAAAAGGAAAGAGTAGTAAAAGAGTGGCATATGCACATTTAAAATTATCATGCTAAAGAATTGTTTTTTCATAAACACAATGGAGAGAGGCTTATCTTTTAGATATCCTACTCACCTTTAAATATAACCAGTAATGGACTTGGTAATCCAATGACTTCACTGTTTCTTTTATTATAGAGCGTTTTGATTTGCAAAACCAGAGTAGTATAGTATGGAATATCTGGGATAAGTATTCCTTCAGAAGGCTTTCCATCAAATGTGTTGTTGCTGATATTCCAGGCTGCCACTGCATCCCACCATTCAACAACGTAACCAGTTACACATCCAATGCCATCATCACGATTGAATGCCCACTCGGTCCAGTTGACGTTGATACCAAGTGAACTACGTGAAATATTAGACGGTGGATTTTGCAGAACCGGCGGGTCTATTAAATACAAGAATATAAAAATAATATTATTTGATATGATTTAAATTACTACATGATGCATCCCACCATTCAACAACGTAAGCAGTTACACGTCCAATGCCATTATCACGATTGAATTCCCACTCGGTCTAGTTGACGTTGATACCAAGTGAACTACGGGAGATATTAGATGGTGGATTTTGCAGAACCGGCGGGTCTATTAAATACAAGAATATAAAAATAATATTATTTGATATGATTTAAATTACTACATGATGCATCCCACCATTCAACAACGTAAGCAGTTACACATCCAATGCCATTATCACGATTGAATTCCCACTCGGTCCAGTTGTCGTTGATACCAAGTGAACTACCGTACTCGCGCGAAGCGCCCGCGCGCTTAAAATATTTTTTGCACTTTTGAGGGGCGCTTATTCGAACGGAGCGCTTAAAAAAACAGAGTGAAAATTGAGGGGGCGCTTATGGAAATAGACGAACATCGAGGGGTTCTTATGAGAACTTATTAAATCCGAGAGACACATTTTGAATGAAAAACGATTAAATAAGGACATCAGGAACCGCAAATTACTAATGTTGCTGCGACGGAAAAATAATCGTACAGAGAGCATGGCTTGTCATGACAAGAATGTTGTGAGTACAGTATTACATAACAGCAGCATAGCAGATGAAATTAGTGGTGGTGGTTAGCTTGTTCGCCATCAGTCGATTGAGAATAGCAGGACGGCATGATCATTGCCGGTTTTCTGGAAAACTTAGATGAGAATGTGTTAAAGGTGCAAATTGTCGGAAAAGGAGTATACATAGGAGCACATACAAAACAGTCTATGGCAGCATAAGCTGAATTGAAAGACTGAAAAATTATTACAAAAAATTATGTAGGACTAGGCTATAGACAAATGAAAGAAGATGAAAGTTGGAAATATACTGTCTGTCCAGGGAGCTCTCATCATTCTGTCAAAGATAAATATCCTCACTTTGATATTGACTAAAGGAGAATGTGATTCTACTCAACATCTCAAATCATGCCAATATCCACAGTCCCAGGATTGATTGGGTTATTGAGGGGGCGCTTATTCAAACGGGGCGCTTATTCGCGCGAGTACGGTAAGTGAACTAAAAGACGGTGGATTTTGCAGAACCGGCGGGTCTATTAAATACAAGAATATAAAAATAATATTATTTGATATGATTTAAATTACTACATGATGGTTAATTTATACTCATCTTTTACTCCAGGCCATTTTTCACTCGACATAAGGGGCGTTGAAAATATCTGGTACTAGGGGAGTTGTGTTTTATTTGTGATTCATTAACTGTGATCTGCATAGCCTAGTGTTAGTCCAAGGACATTAATTTGTATTCATCTCTGATAAAACAATATAACAGTTAAAACAAAACAATACATAATGATTAGTCTAACTCTACGGTACGTTTACTTAAAAAAAATAGAATAAATAAATACGATTATGATCTAATTATATTTAATACGTAATATGTGTTGTATACAGATGGCCTAATAATGATCGTATTATTCCTGCATGATGATGTACAATACTTACATATCTGATAGAATGCCAGCGGACTGGGTTTTCCAACAAATAATACACCGTCGACATCAGTAAGAACTTTTACTGTGAAACTGTATTCTGTGTTGTAGTTCATATCTGCGCATGATATGTTCGTTTCGGTGCCTATTGTAACATTTAGAACAACTAAATCGCTGGTATCATCAGTTGGCCAAAATAGCAACTGATAGCTTTCAACGGTTCCACAGCCATAGTCCTTGTAAAAATTCCAGATCGACCAACTGATATTGACATAATTCGCAAACATTTTCACAAGTGGAGCATTGCTTAGAGCTGGAAGATCTAGAAAATAATAGTTGATTTTAATAATACATAATTCTAAGAATTAACAAAATCCATATCTTGCTTTTTCAATTTGAGGACAAGTAATGTAACGATAAAATACATTTATTATAACAACTTTCAATAACAATAATAATATTTATGATAATGAATGACGATCACAATGATGGTGACATACAGTAAAATAATAATTATTATATTCAGAATATCATATTTCATCTTACTGTGTCCACTGTGTAGTGGTGGTTGAATTGGCACTAACCAGGTGGCGACGAGGACGCTTTCACCCTGACCCCACAATATTATTAATCATAATTCAATATTGATTTATTAGTATACATTGTATTTAAAGTTGATTGTTGTTGATCTGAGCTAAAGAAATGTTTTGGCGAGGTAGTATAAAAAATTAAAAATATGTATATAAATAATGATCAGTGGCGTAGATAGGGGTTAAGGGTGGGTGTGCTCCGGGCGCCAGGTTTGGGGTAGGGGCGCTGAAATAAGAGAATGAGTGTAAAAGAAATAACCACATTTTAGAAAAGCATGACGAAATTGATGTATGTAGTTGGGCATGAATATTTTCCAGTTAATAATAAAAATATGAATGTAGTTGTTTTTATTGGCAAATTTATAGATTGTGATTTCTTTTCAGTTCATTTCGACCGTTTTCTCTTATTTTTCTTATCCTATTCTGTATTTTGACTATATGGCTAAAGCTCATCCTACCATATCTCAGAGTCACGATGGGACAAGAGACTATCTGCTTTGGCACTCCTTAGTATCGAGCGAGATGAAGCAGACAAAATTGCTAACTTAGATCATGTTATTAACTCATTTGCAGATGCAAAAGCACGCAAAATTCAGTTGCAAGTTTGAACAATGTTACAAATTCAGCAACTTACAAGACAATAATAATACTAAGCTGTATGCGATCAACAGCCTTACAAAGTTGTATACAAAGTTCCGAACATCGTAATGCAGTTAGTAAGAAACAGGGTTGGAGTGACTGGGGGTGGGGTTTCAGCCCCTTCGGGGATAGCTCCGCCCCACCTCCAGTCGGGGAGAAAAACCATAATTCGTAGGGGACAAAAACTACAATTTGTCGGGGAAAAAAACCATAATTCATAGGGGAGAAAACAAAAATAATAATACACGAGGCGCTTAACAACCACAAAGAAGAAAACCAAAAACCAAATGCAAAACGTGAGTACCAAAAAAAAAATCATTATCACATATTTGGTTTAAGTTTAGTTGAATTAGGTTCAAATGATTGGTTTGATGATTATAAATAAATGTTGCTATTACAATACTTTGGTAATTGGAATAAAAATATATATGCATTTTGTACATCTTGGTAGACTCTAAAATCTAATAAACAAGCCTTTGAAACCCATAAATTCTCGGAAATTTTCGGGGCCTCGCCCCCTAGACCACCTTCGGAACATTTTAAGCTACGCTCGACCACGCCCACTTTGCTCTCGTCAAGGAAATCTTCCCCCTCGTTGGGGCATCGATCCCTCCTCCCCACCCCCCACCGGGCAAATCTTGACGCCAAACCTCGTAAGAAAGAACCAACTATATGAGAGCTTGAAAAGTGCTTATTTTTATATTATAGTTATAATTGGGGGAATGGGAACGCAATTATCTACACTTGCCCCCGGGCGCCAAAACCTCTAGCTACGCCACTGATAATTATCTATATAAATAAAATGTAAGATCTTAAAGGACGGTGTTATACCAGGAAATCAAGAAGATATACGTCCTTGGTGTTATAATACTTACATATCTGAACTGCCGGTGGACTAGGTTTTCCAACCACTAACACACCCTCAACCTCAGTAACAACCTTTACAGTGAAACTGTATTCTGTGTTATTGTTCATTTGTGCCCGCGATATGTTCATTTTCGTGTCCATTGTGGTATTTAAAACAACTAAATCGCTGATGTGACTAGTTGGCCAGTATTCCAACTGGTAACTGTGGACGTTTCCACGGCCGTAGTCATTGTCCAGACTCCAGGTTGACCAACTAATCTCGACATTACAGGTACTTGGAAACATTCTCACATGTGGAGCATCACTCAGGGCGGGAAGAACTGCATATAAAGATTTAAAACATTTTAAATCCTGAAATAGTGTACTTTGTACTAATGTACGAAAAATAACTGTGATAATTTTTTGTGACAAATGATTTGCATCTGGGCATGATGATGCCATATTACCACCAACTGTGTGCATATCACATTTGTCACATAAAATTTGATAGTTTTGACAAAGCATAATTTTATTTATTTCATATCCTGCCAACAAGTTGTCTTGTATCGTCATGTTCGTCCGTGTTATTGTTAATTATTTTGTTTAGATGGCCAATGATATACGAGCTCTGCTCTTTTGTTGGTCATCCTTCCATTGTCCAATAATTTTGGAATATAAACTGAAACTGGGGCTTTATTAGCCTAAAATAGGCTACTAAATAAAACTATTGTATTATTATAAATGAACATGCTAGGACATTATCATTTTCCTGTCAAGTATTAAATACTATAGCCAATTATTAGCTGTTCGTGTATATAGTCAGTTAATATTTTATACACAGATATATCTAACATGGAAGTTTTTGTTGTTTAAAGAATGAAAAAAAAAATACTGAAATTAAAATTGATTTCTTGAATGGCAACAATAGTAGGTCATGCCGTTAAACCCATCTTCGTATGATGCTGAACCTGTCCATGGGAAACATTAGGGTTTCACGTAAAACCAAATAAACACAAGCTTCATTATATTAAACATTTAAGAACGTTATAAATGTTGTAATTGGGTTTTGTCACTGAAAATAACGTTAATACATTGTTACAACAACCTTCTCAAGTTAGATTAAATACGTATTTATGTGTTGAACAAGGGTTTAGAACCAAATATAACGTTATTACAACGGAAAACTGGTGGATGGGGTAGACGCACACGCACACAAAATACACGGACGGGATTTTATAATTTACAGTGCTCCAAGTAAACTTTCATGATAGGGCCTATACTTTCTTTTACTAGTGGAGCAGGAACTTTCTAGGGCCTTGGAGTTATATTGCAGAAGATCCGAATGCAGATAGAGCAGATAAAAAGTCAATAAAACTAATAAAGGCGCCGTGAACAAGACGAATTCACTCATGAGCCATGTTACATTGTTCACCAACTGTTTGAAGGAGTTTTTAAAAAATATTTTGCATCCCTACATTTGATTTGATGATTTGCAATTTTAATGCATATTGTATAACCATGAAGGTATTATATCTATGGTATAAGTGTCTACCTTGCTGACATCCTAATCCGGCCCATCCGTCTTCACAAACATCACCATCATGGCAACTTCCATTATTTCGATCACATTTCGGCGAGCCTCGGCAATGACATATTTTGGTGCATTGTGGGCCATAAAATCCACCGGGGCACTCAACATCCGGGTCCCTCTCTGATATAAGGTAAACCATTTTAACAGACAGTAATCATTAGTAACGATAACGAGAATAACAACAACAACAGCAACTGCAACAACATAAATAATAAATAAAAATAACAATAACAAAAGTATATATATAAAAAAATAAAATAATACTAATAATACTAATAATAATAATAATAATAATAATAATAATAATAATAATAATAATAATAATAATAATAATAAATACAAAATTAAATAACAATAAATGTTAGTTTTTACTTTATCATTTTTATAGTACACGTATCCAGGAGAACTGCTTTTTGGGGTTTTTCCCCTGTTCATGGAAACAGAATGTACCATACACAACGTTGCTCTTTAGATTGACTACCGGTATCTGGTACTATTTTCTTTATTCATCCCTTAAGTACCTCATTGATTAAGTCAACGGATCAAACTGCTATATATGCTCGGATAGTTAAACATGTTACAATTTATATATAAGTGATATATATTATTAATTGCATTAATAACAATATTAACCATTACAAAACTATTTAAACTTTAATGACGCTAATAATAACTATAAATTTAATGATAATAATAATAATTATTTTGAAAAACAAAAGAGCAAACTTATAAAATGTTCATTTTTTTCAGCTGAATATTCTTTATACGTAGGCATGATAATGCCTATTTTTTTTTTTTTTTTTTTTTTATCAACTTTGAGCACACATTCTTTACCAGAGAACAACATCTTGGTTATACAGAATTATTAACTCTTTTTGTATTAAAACTGACTTTTTACAAACCTAGACAACGCGTTCCAATGTAACCAGATTGACAAATGGCGCCTTCGTTACAACCCTCTGATGGCCGACATTCAGTAGCTTTACAGTGACAATCAAGAAGGCATCCTGGTCCATACTTGCCAGATATTTCTGTGTCACATGCTAAATCACATCAACGAGAATACATCTCCAAATTAAATGTTTAAATCGCAAACAGTATATTTATGTATATAAATATTATACAGGCCCGTAGGCAGGATTTCCGATGGGGAGGTGCGTTTTACAACTGAAGTGGACCTTACGATGGGCGACTGCCTAGGGATCCCCGCGAGGGTGGGGCGAATGTTCTGGAAGCTCTGACAAATTAAGATTTTGAGGGCCTTTTTTATTCAATTTCTAACATCCATAATTTGTAATATCCTATTTAAATTTTCATTCATTTGAGTATCGTCTAGGGACTTACAGTAAATCAGGAGAAATAGAGGGTATGGTGAAGTGGAAAACTTGCACAGACAGATGGTCAATACCACCTCAGTACCACCTCAGCCCCACCATGGTTGGGGCTGAAGGTAAGAAAATTTATGATTATGGCACCTCAAAGTGGCCGGAAATGGCACTCTCAGACAAACTTTAATTATGATTTTTCTGTTTTCTCCATTTCTTTTATAATTTTAGGGGGCTCTCCCCCTTTCAATCCACCACTGTGAAATTATAATTTTTCATGTCCTTTACATCTGTAGGCCTACAATCACTGGAGCTGATAATTTCCAACAGATTTCGTAGCACATTATTAAAAATCAACGGGTAGAAGAGCGGGCAAAAAATGTAATGCATACTATAGCGTTTTGCGATAATTAGGAACAATTTTAGTGAAATAATAGGTTTTAAAAAGTGGACTTTTTGAAATTTGGTGGTCCAGGGGCAGAGGCCTGGAGGGGGTTTGTGAGTAAAGCGACAAAGTAGCATTTTGAGGGTCTTACATAATAGATTTCTCAAACACATAATTCATGAATATTCATTTAAATTTTCATTAATTTGGGTTTTTGGGACCTGAAATGTAACGTTATGATGTCCTGTACATCTGCAGGCCTATAGATAACATTCTTCTTATTATATAGATCAATCTGCAATCACCGGAGATGATCAATTTCTAACAAATTCCATACCACATTATTAAAAATCAACGGTTAGATAAGCTAGCAAATATATAATGCAATGCATGCTATAGCATTTTGTGCGTCTGCACCCTCTGCACCCCCCTGCCTACGGGTCTGATTTAGATATGCTTGTGTATGCTTTATTCTATATAATAAAAGGCCAATGACAGGCTTTTCTTTATTGTTTCACTTTTTTTACGTTTTAGGATAATGAATGGATAAATGGATGGACAATTTGTAACTGGATGTACAGATGAATAGGTAGATGAATAGATATATACAAAAATAGATGGATGGGATGGATGGTTGGATATATTGATGGATGGATGGATGGATGGATGGATGGATGGGTTGATTGGCTGATCGATTGATGCATGAATTTATAGATAGATGGATTGTTGGATTGATTGGTAAATGGATGGGTGGATAGATAGATATGTGGGCGGATAGTTAGGATAATGAAGAAAATTTAAATGCATAGCTGGATAGATGAATGAATGAATGAATACTGGATGGATGAATAGATACGTAAATAGATGTAAGGCTGGATGATGGATTGAAGGATGGATCGATGAATGGATGGCTTGTTTGTCATTCATTCGTTCGTTCGTTCTAGGACATTTTATAAATAAATTAATAATTGTGTGTACACTTGCAGACAAAGTATGTAGACATTTTCTGCATTTAAGCTGTTGTAATACTGTTATTAAATAGTATACTAATAAAGCAACAATTGAAATAAATGCTGTGAATGTTACCTCTACTGCAATCAAGACCGTCGTATCCTGACATACACGAGCAACCAACAGGGTCAGGTGGACAAAAAAAACGTCCTTTACACTTGGTTGTATCCGTACTGCTGCTGCATATAATAGTGCAATCACGTCCCCAATTATTATGACCACACGCTTAAAAAAACAAAAACAAAAACAAAAAACAGCGTTAGAGTTCTGTTTTCATTCAATAAATTTTCCATATTAGGCCTACATTTTATAGTATAATTAGTCACAGAGCCTTAAGATTATCATTGTATGCTTGAAATTCGAATAAGAATAACGTGTTTAAAATAATTCGTTTACCAAGAATATTCCATATGTTTTCTTAAAAACACGAAACAGAAATAAATTATTGGTCGATTGATTACTAATTGATTAGACTAATTCTCTTTTTATATATTTATAGATAATACGAATTTGATATTCTCTATAATGATTTTACTATGTTTTATATAATATTATTATTTTTATGAAAGGAAATAATATCATGTGTTATTGTAAATGACAATCAATAAACAGAACTTAAAAATCAAAACTTTAACGAGGTAAGAGAATATATGAATTACTAAGTGTTAATAGAGACTAGAGTATACAGCAAAATGATAGCACGATTTAAGCAGTATTAGCCTTACCTTCTTCACAGTTATCTCCTTTGAAGCCCGGGGGACAGATACAAGGTCCGAATTGAGCAGAACACACGCCCCCATTATAGCATACAGGGCAGTCGATTTTACAATCGGGAGGTACACACTTCCCACGAGGACACTCTAATGCGATTGTTTGGAAAGTCAACAAGTTACATGTATGTCTTTATTTAAACAAACACAAGGTATATGTACAAACAAATTCAATAAAAAATACACTGAAGAGTAACATACCACCACCACGCTGTCACCACCCAGGGGTGGGCGCCAGCGGGCCCTGTGTAACAATAATTGGCAATTCACATAAACGGTATGAGCCAAGTGAATGTGAAAATTCTGTGGGAATTAAAGGCGGTTAAAGTAGTTAACTCGCACAAGCCACACAAAAAAGAGCAGTGTACTTCGTATGGCAAGGCAGTTTGACACCTCAGTAGTGTATGTGAAAACGAGGGAAAAGATGCTGAACTAAAATTTACCTCGAACAATTACTCGTACTATAGCGTGTTGACCCTTGTACCGTCGTCCTTCCGGATAACATTCGTAAATACCAGCGTCTTTTTGCCGAACATTTTCAATGGTCGCGTTGCTTAACCCTGCCCACTCTATGATATCGGATCCTCCATCTTTCTTCCATCGTAAGCTACTGAGATTTATACTATCATGAATCATCATTACCAGCTTAACTGTGTCACCAATACTTGTTGTAATAGTTCGATGCTCTGGTACAATGGTGCCTAGAAAAGAAATGAAAAAGCGAACATGGGATTATTTTCATTTGAAATCCCTTCAGTTTGGTATAAAGTTAGCAGGAGAGCTTTGTTTGGTAGTACAGTACATACTGGATTGATAAAGGAGATTTTTGTTTTGTTTTTAAACGTTTACAAATTAAGACGGATTGTCTGTATCAAAATTTATGCATAGAGGAGATTAACAGTTACATTCAGAATACTGATTTCATGTCTTTCTTCACAAATCAAAGTTTATTATTACATTTTTTAGTTCTTAATCAAGCCATATTATGACCAATTAAAAAATATAGATTATACAATTGTAGATAAAATACACATATCACGCACACCCTTAAACTTTCTCCCCCTCCCACCTACACACTGTCAAACACACCCCAACCACCAAATATATTGACACATATGTTAGGATAGCTAATTGTTCCGGAAGCTTTTGCATGAACCCATTTTCAAATAGACAAATTTATGCGATACACTTTTCTAAATAAAAAAAAAAAGAGTTAGATAAAATTCAAAACTCATTTCGTAAGTGGATTTCCCGTACGACTAAAAATCATAACGGTACTGGGTTTGGTCTGCAGGAGTACGTGCTTCGAACAGGTCATTCCATTCATAGAAGAAGCCTTTTGATGGAGAAAGTGTACCTATTAGCAAAGGTTTGCCCAGATCGAAACTAACTCCGGCTACATAAAATTGATTATAAGATTGAAAAATATTAATCTTATTATTGTAGCAGTGATAGAAACTCCATACACGTTTAAATTATTGTTATTTAATTTTTATGTCATTATACAGTATTTACATTTAAACTTCATGTATTGTTTAGGTATGAATTATTATATTCATGTAAAATTAATCTTATCAATTAATTTTTTTTTATATTTTAAATAATATAGTAGGCATAGCCGAGGTCCAGCCTAGACTAGGTCTAAACGAGTGATTATATCATGTGAGTGTATAACATTATGGAAAATATGAATAAAACGTAAAATTGTGAAAGAATAAAGAAAGAAGGAAGAAAAGGAAAGAGATTTGGAGCGGCTGGAATTATTTCCGAAAAATATACAATAGTAGTCAATATGCTATTATTGCATTACGTTTTTGTAAACAATTTTGGGCACTAATCATCAGAGGTCTCGGTGCCACAGCCTACACTTTTTTTTCATTATTCGAAATCGAATCGGACCTTAAGTGATCTCCGCTCAGCCACTGATAAAGTTAGCAGGAAAGCTTTGTTTGGCAGTTGTATACATATTGGATTGATATAAAAGATTTTGCTGTTTTAGGGTAATAAGACGGATTGCCCTTATCATAAATGTATGCATGGAGGAGATTAATAGTTACATTTAGAATACTGATTTCGTGTCTTTCTTCACAAATTAAAGTTTATTATTACATTCATTATTTCTTAGACTAGCCATATTACCAATTCAAAATATAGATAATGCAATTGGACACACACCACACACACCTTCTTCCCCTTCCCACACACCGTCACAAACGTACATGCACACACACACACCCCAACATCCCTCTCCCCCTCACACACTAACATATATAATCATTGACCTATGATAGGATAGTAAACCCATTTTATAATTTCATCTTAAATAATGACCAACTAATTTAAGATAAATACGGTCATAGTATAATGTTGGTAACATCTTGTTCATGAATTTTTCAATAATACCTCACTAAATTTACTGAATCGACACTGTAACTACCTCACTTCTGATGGTGGCTATGTAAAATTTTATGATTAATGTGTGTGAGATCTTTATGACTTTGTTTACTTTTCAGAACTAATCGTGAAAGGTTAAGTGTTAGCTTGACGGTGTACGGTAAGAATGGCCCCGGAAAAAAATGGCCCCGGTATTAATGGTCCCGGTTAAAATGGCCCTAAATGACAAGTAGGTGAAAATGGCCCCAGTATTAAAATTCTGTATTAAAACTGATTTTATTTAATAATTATATGCATTTTTTTAAAGGAATCTAATATCAAATAAATTGCCATTTACATTTCACTTTTTGCAGGAATTACATATTCAATGATAAAATATTCAAAAAAAATTCCATGTTTAAACACTTTCATTTTTTTAAAATTTAATTGTTAAAAAATAGCAACAATATAATCAATAAATCAACATAAATCACGTATTAAATAATACTAAAATAATTTATTTGTGGCCAATTTCACGAAAGCGGAATCACAATTTTCCAGAAATTCAATCCGGGTGTTGGTAAACCCCACAAACAATAGGTTGATATGAACATCAAATTATTATTCTTTTTTTTAAGAAAAAGAGAGTTCTACAATCATAACTAAAGGGTTTGGATGGGGTTCGTAGTGTGTTTGGAGGTTTGTGGTGTATTTGCAAGTATTTTTTTCACTAAAAAAAATCAACATTTTAACCAAAAAAATAGGATATTATGAATATTTAATTTTCTTATTAATATACCAATTGAGTCAATCACAATTGAATTGTTTGGTTTTCTACAATTTATTTTGGGAGGTTTGCGGGATTCCTACCATAATTACCCTACCCTCACAATTAGGCCTACACGCCATTGTAATTCTTAGCATAATTGCCATATTTACATAAATAGTATCTCAGTTTACATTATTTAGTATAGATTTAGGGACTTAAATTTAGTTGTCGGGGAGTAAAAACCAAGTATGCAATTAAACAAGTTGCTTAAATAAATGTATTTCTATTTATTCAGTTTACTTTAAAAAACAATATTTGATTAACAAATACTTCTTTGAAGTAATAAGCAGAAAATTTATTGCTAAGTTTGTAAGAAAGTAAGCCTCTCCCTTTTCTCATACATGAACTTGTGATTCAAACACACAATTGATCCACATGTTTTTTTTTTCATTGTATATAACATGTAAAGTTATTTCATTTGATACTTAACAAAAGTGAATTTTGTGGTTATCTATGAGTTGCATATTTTAGTAGTTGAAGTACTCTATGTAGGTCATTCCTCTACTTTGTTAATGGAATAACGTTTTTTAAACTTGTTAACTCAAAAAATGTTATTCAATGGCCATTTTTCCGATAATCTCTCAGTACATTATTTGTATCTGTTGTGTAACTGCATTTGTTATAAAACAAATACTTTTAGAGAAATAAAAAAAAATCACATAAATTGATCCTATTTTCAAAGGATAAAATAAAACTTATTTATAAATATTTACGATTTTAATAAACGATTTTGATGAACGTAGAGATTACGCCCTAGCATGTTTAATGCACAAATGTTGCGCCTTCCCGCCTATGTAATGATATAGAAAGGGTTGTTGACCGACATGGATATTCTACGAGATACGCTCACGCGCTTAATGTTATCCCCCCACACCCCAATTCCAAATTGCTCTATAATGAATGGCTCTTTAAAAATCGTTGAAGCAAAAGTTTGGAACAAAATCCCAATCAGAATACAAGAATGTCATTCTCTTAATTTATTCAAAATTACTTATAAGAAACACTTTTTCTAATTATCACAATTCATTTCCTTTTATATTTTCTTGGTCTATACTTTTAACATTTAATCCCAGCCCCGAAGCTTGGACTCAGAAGTACCGGGATGGTGTCCGGCGGGGGATAGTTTTTACCATTGTTTAGTTAGGTTTGTAGTTAAGATAAAAGTTGTGACAGCCCCGAAACCTTGACTCAGAAATACCGGGATGGTGTCCGGCGGGGGATAGTTTCTACCATTTTTATCTATTTACGTAATTGTACAGTATTTGTCCTACCTTGTAATCCCGGCCCCGAAACATTGACTCAGAAATACAGGGTTGGTGTCCGGCGGGGGATAGTTTTTACCATATTGTAGTTAAGTTGTAGTTAAGCTTATAACCTTGAGCCATAATTTCTGGTCCCAAAACCTTGACTCAGAAGTACCGGGTTGGTGTCCGGCGGGGATATTTTCCACCAAAGTTTTTACTATTGTTTATTTTATTGTACTGTGCTGGATAATTTTTGTTGTTGTTATTGTACTATGTGTTTGCAGGACCATATTGTAAAACAGCGGCAAGTTCTCGCCTTTATATGTTATCCTGCCTAAAGATGTTTTAAAAAAATATATAAATAAATAAATTTTCACTTTTTTTTAATTGCATAGTTGAGGGCCATTTTTTATTTATTGATTCAGTTATTGCTTATTACAGTATTTAAATATTTAAAGATCATTGGGGCCATTTTTACTGGGGCCATTTTTACCGGGAACATTTTTACGGGGCCATTTTTACCGCGGCCATTTTAACCTACATCCTAGCTTGACAATCTCATCTACTAGTTTAGGAGCACACACTACGGAAAAGAGTATGGGATTGTGTCCCGGTGTACTACTCAACTGCCACCAGAAGGGCCCAACTGGAAGTACCGTAAGCCTTCTTCGGACTCTCGTGTTTTCGCGACTTGGTTTTTATACCAAATAGCCTAAATGCAATCACAAAATACTTGCATAGCCTGAACTGGGTTGATAAATATATTACAATGCTTAATTTATGGTTAATAAAAGGACCCATTACTCTATCAGCTATACCCTAATTGCACCGCACCCATAAACTTAACAAAGGATAGTGACCCAGGTCTTCTAGAATCTTTACAGTAAATATATATTGTTCATCTTGACAAAAGTAAAAAAGGAAACACTATTGTTCGGCTATTTTTATTTTATTACTATAAGAGTTTAGGCCTATGTAATGTAGTTGGTTGTGTATGCCCATAGGAGCAAAGAAACATTTCGTCAATGATTATGACATACATACAATGCCACAGCATGTAGCAGCAACAGATAGTAACACACTGACCTTTATTTGCTAGAAACACCATTGACGCTGAAGCACTGTAACTTTCAAATTCTGTCCGCATGTATTTCACACCGACTCTGCGTACACCAAGAGTAGAGGGAAAATCGAGCTGACACTTCAATGCGTTATTTGTTAATGCTTTGCATGGAGTGTACTTTGTACCAGAAGTGAAAATAGAACTGGCTATATCGTGCTGTATATTTATTAACTCTTTTTCCTCATAGTGCGTCCCGATGTCGTTCACCCATAAGCCTATGCCAAATATGACGTTTTTGTTGTCGTTAACGCCATCCCTTCGGCCGGTGTAGGCACGCAGATCCGTGTCGGTGTCACTGTCTACAATATATGCTCCACTAAATGCTGTAATATCAGGCACCTTGACTAAAATAGATAATCAATTTGAAAAAAAATATATATAACTTCGGTAGTAGCAATAGTTGTGTTCATAAAAAAAATGTTCAATTTAATTATCTATATTTACGAAAGTTGCCTACTGACTTAGAATTAAGTGTGTAAAAACAAATCCGTGACCTAATGTATGAGATTAGATAATAACAATTTCTTTCTCAGTATCAGAGGCGCAAAAGTGCTGATTATGTATTAATAATTATCCATTATCAGTAAAGAAAATAAATAAATGGGCCAGAAAAGTTTAACCTTTTGGAATGCTAATTGAGGAGCTTGGTGTCCCAGTCATATCTGCACCTTTGTGCTCATAGTTCACCATCACAACTACTTCAAACGAGTAGTACACATATACTTCAGGTAGTAGGACCATGTAATTCTGCGACTGAACAGGTTCATCTACACTGACTGAGTACAGAATATTTGGTTTCTTCACGTTCCAATATTCTATAGTGTACCCTTGTACAATTCCCATACCGGTGTATGCATCGAAACTCCAAATATCACACGTTACAACGGTGGAAAAGTTTGCAAGTCGAGAGAAGTTACACGGGTTAGATGAAAAGGATGGAGGCTCTGAAATATATCAAAGATAGCTTCAATTTTGACATGAAAAGTTATTTTTTTTTTCACATGAATTTATCCGATAGAATTTTCAAGTATCACATTTTCGTCATTGTAGTCATCATCATCATCATCGACATTATCTTTCTTTCATCATCACCCTCATCCCCATTCAATTATCATTCTCATATTATTATTGTTATTATCATTATTATTATTATTATTATTATTATTATTATTATTATTATTATTATTAGTATTACTATTACTACTATATATTAAAGTGCATTTTGAGAACGTGTCGGTTTAGTGGTACGTGCACTTGTTGACAAGTTCTCTAACTGGAGTATTAGTATGATTCCATTAAAGAAATCGAAGGAAGTAAAGTAATAATAACTGTACTATTATCATTATTATCATTATTGTTATTTACCAATATTATTTTTAAGAATACTATTTAACTTACCGAAGAGAAATAATGTTGGTATAAATGGGATTTCAATACTTTTTCACTAATTATGTATTATATCAGTTGTGTCAAGTCTATTTCAAAATAAACAAAATACTGACTAAATAACAGATTGTTATGATGCGGTTAACCAATTTACTTGGTGTATCCACTTTCTAATATTTATAAATAATTATCCATTATCACCAAAAAAAAAAAAAGAAAAAAAATACAGAGATGAGTATACACCATCTAGCGTAGATAGCTCCGTTTGAAAATGGGCTAAAAAAGTCAAACCTTTTGGAATGCTAATTGAGGAGCTTCCTGTTCCAGTCATATATACATAGGTGTAGATCCCGGGGGGATGGGGATATATTCCCCCAATATTTGACAAGGGGGATGGTCCATTGTATCATCCCCCCCCCCAATATTTTGACTATGTATGCGGATAAAATGGAGCTTTACACACTTCAAAAGACTGTCACAGAAATAATTTGCACTGTCTTATGCGCTTACAAAGATGAAAATTAGCATAATGTATTAATGTTGATAAAAAATTATTTTATCTGGTACCAATCTAAGCTCTTCTTCTCTTAGATGTTAGATGTGCTTGCAAAGAGAGCCACATTTCACACTAAAGGGTGTGTACGACATCGGTATTGTTAAGTCAATTCCAAGAATGTTTAAGGTTATATCAGTTGATGAGGAATTTATTGATTAGGCCTATAATAGCAAATTGCATCAATTTATTTTGAAAAAACAAGGTTTCCAGCTTCAGAAGGGGGGGGGGGCACATCCTCTGTCCGCACAAGGGCACACCTTAGCGCTAACACCAGGCGCGTAACAGGGGGTCAAGCGCGCAAATTATTTTTGTGTTTTTAATTTTAATTTCGTCGGAACTCCCTAAAATGTGCAATTTATAGAGGAAATTGGCCTACAGTAACAAAAAATGCGTGCAAAGAATTTGAGATATTTAGGCACTTTCAGAGGATGCATTTGTCAAGGAGTGGGGAAAGATTTTCCAAAGATGGATAATTTACCCTAGTCCCCCGGTGTTTTTAATTCTAATTTCGTTGGAATTGATCAAAGCTCCCTAAAATGTGCAATTTTTAGAAGAAATTGGGCCATGTTAACAAGAAATGCGCGCGAAATTTGAGGTTTTTAGGCACTTTCAGGGGATAAAAGGGCATTTATAAAGGGGTGGGGAAGATTTTTCAAAGATAGATATTTTCCCCTTCTCTCCCAGTGGTTACGCCATCGGGCAGCAGATCAAAGGAGTTATGACAGTTTTTGAAGTAGAGAAGGGGTTGCAGGGTGTTGTGAGTCTGGTCATTATGATATCTTCCTTTTTATTCTTGTCTTTATTTTTCTCTTCTTTTTTCTTTCCTTTTCTTTTCCTCTTCTTCTCTTTCCCTCCCTCTCCCCTCTTTATTTCCTCTTATTACCCAGCCCGGTACGACGGCTGGGTCAGCCCGGTAAAAACTGTCAGGGGAGGGGCAGTTTTCCCCCTTCCCCGCCTGTTACGACACTGGCTAACACGCCAATCATACCCACCCCCACCCAATGAAAACTATTTTTCTACGCCACTGCATATATACACCTTTCTGCTCAAAGTTCAGCATCACAACTACTTTGAACGAGTAGTACACATACCCTTCAGGTAGTAGGACTGTACAAACTTTGCGACTGGACAGGTTCATTTACACTCTCTGGCTAAAAAAAAAATTGGTGTTCACGTTCCAATATTCTACCCTTGTACAATTCCCATACCGTTGTGTGCATCAAAACTCCAAATATCACACGTTACAACGGTGGAAAAGTTTGCAAGTCGAGTGAAATTACACGGGTTAGATGAAAAGGATGGAGGCTCTGATAAAGATTAGCTTTAATTTCAACATTACAATTAGTTTCTTTTTCACATGATTTTATCTAAAAAATAGAATTAGCAAGTATTACACAAACGGTATCATTATCGTCGTAATTGTATTCACCATCATCATTATCATCATCAACATCTTCCTCATCATCACCGTCATCCTCATTCCATTATCATTCTTATCATCATCATCATCATCATCATCATCACAATCATATTATTATTATTAATATTTCTATTATTATTATTATTATTATTATTATCATCATCATTATTATTATTAATTATTGAGAACGTGTTGGTTTATCATCATTTTATCATTATTGTTATTATTATTATTATTATTATTATTATTATTACTATTATTATTATTAAACAGTATCATATTTAAGATTATTTAATTTACCGTAGAGAAATAATGTTGGTCCATTTGGAATTTTGATATTTTTCACTTATATTATGTATTAGGCCTATATTGATTGTGTCAAGTCTATTTCCAAATAAATACAATACGTCTAAACTGACTAAATAACAGATTATAATGGTGCGGTTTACCAATAGGATTTAATGCCGTGACTTGACTAGCAATTCCTTGTGTTGACACGCCGTCAATATCAGCATTTACTGACACAGTCACATCGTAATGTTGGTTGTAATCTATCGACGAAATGTTGATTTCTATCCTAGTTTCCTTAATGTTATCAATAGTTGCTGCTTCATCCGGTGATGCCGTCTTCCAGTATTTCAAAACGTAACTGCTGGCATCTCTGTTACCGAAATCATAATCTCTGTCCCAGACTGACCAAACTACGCTGATACTCGAAGCACTGTACTCGATGAATGGCGCATCGTACAGTCGTGGAAGTGCTACAAAACAAAAACTCTTCAATTGAAATTGCTATAAGTAAAATTTTTACTAAAATTTGAATTTAGCGATTTTGGATAAATTAATAATTGTCTTTTACGATAGCTTACTTTTCAAAATAATTTTCTAATTATAAAAGTGTTTTCTGTATTTCTAGACTTATAGTACAACAAATTAGAATTTTAAAAAATAGGCCTGTATATGACTTTTCGAAAAACAGAACATATTACGTTTTCTCATTGAAATAATGAGAACCGATGATAAAAAATTTAAATTAAAATGATAATGGCAATTTTTAGTGATAAAGAATCATGAAACGTTGTAGAATAACTGCCTTTTGTTCGTCCGCTGTTGCAAAGAAGAAAACGACAGATAGTCCTGGTGGGTTATTGATTTTAAAATCAATTAGCCTAGCCTAGATGTTGACTAGCTAGGTTCGCTCCTCGTTCATTTAGATACAGAATTATACCCCGACGACAACAAACTAGTGTAGGCCTAGGCCTAAGTACAGTAGGACTTACTACAGGTGGTAGGCCAGGCCCTTTTTTGTAAAAGTTGAAGTGCATGTACAGGATGAGCCATAGGCCTATATTTAAAAAAATACATTTTGTTAATTATTATTGGTTGGCCTGGGACGGACCTAGGCAGGCAGGCCAGCTTTACCGTCGGAAGTCCTAGGATTCGACGATGACGTCCGTGCACGTTTACAAACGCCATTGATTAGAATGAAAATAGACGCACTGAATTTCGGGGTTTTTTTTATGAAAGATAGAATTTATCGAACATTTATCTACATAAAAACAAGAATAATATTGTAGAAATTGTATTTCTAAAGATGCATATAATTCATATTTCATTTTGTAGACAATAAATATTCGGTGAGATATACTAAAGACGATTATTAATTCTGAAAGGTGCATCTCATGAGCTATTATTATTCAGTACCGTAGGCTCTATGTATTATGTTATAAATTCTTAAAATAATAATTTCGAATTATGCTATATTTTGGGCTCTGACTTTAATTTAACGATGGCCCTATCAGTAGTAATGACAGTATTTTTTGTGCTTTTTTTAGCCATGTAGTAAAATAATACTATTATTATAAAAGTCAAGAAGAAGTAGTAGAAGAAGAAGAGGAGGAAAAAGAAGAAGAGCTTTTTTTTTTGTTTTATAATAATAAACGTGTTAAACGAGTATATTGATATTGATTATGCGATGAGGTTTTTTTTTTATATCTTTCGGTGTGATTTAAACATGCCAATTCTCAGAAAATATTTTCTAATTTTATTATATTACCACCTTTTCATTACATAGATCTTTTTCAAAACAGGCCAAACTGCTTTTATAACATTATTATAGACCCATTAAACACAAAAACTGCTCTGGCTTCGGGGGCTTCGCCCCTGACCCCACCGTGACCCCAGGCAGGAGAGCTGTTCCCCACCCCCCTGTCGAGGAGAAAAAGCACAATTCGTCTGGGAGAAAAAAAAATTATATGTATATTTTACATATTAATAGACTCTAATATCGATTTAATAAGCCTTTGAAACCCCTGAATTTTCGGGGGATTAACACCCAGTACCACTTTTGGAACTTATTAATTGAAGCTCGCCCACGCCCACTTTGCTTTCGTCGGGGAAATCTGACCCC